TCAACAGAATACTGATATACTGTAGAAACTATACAGATTTCATATCACGTTCAAAACCGAACATTTCATGAATTTATTTGAAAAGTTTATCGAACTAAACATAATCTCATTGAGTTCAATACTCTTATTAAGAGTTTTATTACTTTCATCAAAAGAAGAGTTAAATGAAAATATCTATTATCTGTTTGGATTACTTAAATTTGGACCAATATATTTCCAATTATAAACAAATCCAAATGACAATACTAATTCCTGTATACAAAATAAATTTTTGGAAACAAATATTAATTAACGACTTTTGATTTATGAAGGATAATAATAATTGGTTTATCATAAACTATAATTATAATTTTTTGACGTTGTCAGTTAGCAATTAAAAATTATCACATTTATTAGTTCGTAGTTTTATTTTAAAATTTTTATTGATTATCTTTATTAATTCCTATCTTGTTTTCACATTTTCTACAATTTATGTATACTTTTGCACATCTGTTAACCCGATGATAAAAAAATTAGGTTAATTTAGTTAAGTTAGTAATTTAACTTTTGTTTTACTTCACCTCTACTAATATGCTACTATCAAAAGGTAAATTCTAAATAAATATTGATATGATAGTAGCGTATGATTAAACGATTGTATTAAACATTTTTTATATCATAAAAACTGAAGAACTTAGAAGGGCAAAAGCTTTTGATTTACTTTTGAAAAAAAATAAAAAAAAAAAAAAAAAAAAAACTTTTGATATAAATTCCGAGACAAATGTATAAATGCGCAGATATTCGGAATGTTGCATGTAATGTTGGATTTTAATCAGTTAGCGGTTTCTATGATTAAACTTTAATGAATTGCAAATAGGTATTTCCGTCTTGAGGAACAGTTAATCATTATTTGGTGAAAATCACCTACCGCAACTGATTATAGAAAAAATAAATCGGTCTGGTGGTTTTATGAAGTAACGGTGGATAATATTAATTAAGATCCTGTGGATATTAGATAATGAGACTATAGTGGGATTAAATAAAATAAGCGCTTCTTGTCCTGTCCTATCTAATCAATATTTGGCGTAAAATATTAATCTACATAGGATTTAGAACCATCGTAGGTTCTAAATCTCGGTGTTATTAAGCCCCGACAGAATATGTACATTATTAAATTAATTATGCTCCAAATAACATCTTATATTGGATTCAATGCGAATCACTAAACATTAGTTTCGGGTACGATGTGATCTTCCCGCTTGAACGTCCAAAACATCTAAACAATACTTATGAAGACTATCGCATGGGCAACTCCTTTGTCTTGGAAGCGCATCGAGGGAGTCGAAAACTTTCTCTTCGGACCGACCGGAGGAACGACTCTTTTGTTCAAATTGTACTCGAACGAAGCAAACTACAAGACTATCAATGCTACTAACTAGATACACGATACAAAAAAATAGTTTACATAACGGACACGAACAAACTGGCCATAGTGTCTACAAATTATACGCAGACGGCTCTCGCTCATTACACAACCAAGAAACAGCACGTATGGGGATTACGTCGAGGATTATAATATCAGTGATGCATTAAGCTTCCCATAGGACTACAAATTGCATCGCTGTGCTTTAAGCTACACATTGAATTGGAATATATAATCTAAATGACATTGACGATTTCATCCCACATTCATTTTAATGTGTTGCACATTTGATCATTAAGAAATTATAACTCATTACTATTTAATATTCAATGTTAATTACGGATTAAAAATCTATTTTATAGTAAACTACTAGACTTTTATTCATTTAAATTGCTTTAGTATATTTAAAACTGGCAATGCCATCTGTTTTGACTGACATTTACTATATGGAGTTATGAAATAAAAATGTAAAAAAAAGTGCATTGATTTATATTGTTTATTTTAATATAAAATAATATAAACACAAACGAGACATTCCATCATAAGATTCTTAAACTTAAACCCGAAAAAAATACCGTAAATGTTCATTGGAAATGTTAGTATTGAAGACTGCGCTTAGTCTGGATGTCCTCGAGAACTGTCTGCAGATCCTCATCCTCGAATCTACCTTCGAGCGATGGAATCAGAGATTTTGCCTCGTCCGTCGTTTCCGGACACAAATTAGCAATCGCAGCCAATTCGAACTTGTGCAACTTCTTCTGCTTCAACAAGCTATATAGAAATTTAACATAATTAATCGAATAAACGTAAACAGTTAAATATAATTACTTGCGAATTGAAGAGATTGTCTCTTTGTTCTTGTACTTCTTGAACCTCTGAGTGTACGTTAACGTCTTCATGAAAACCTCGGAGAATTCCTGCTCATCCTCAGCCGATTCATTCTGATCCTTCCTGTGCTTCAGCAACATGTACACCTCAGATATCAAGAGAGTTTCGGCGTTCTCAAATTCTGCAAAGATAGAAACGGTTATTGTAAATTTCAATCAAATGGAAAGAATATAGAAATAAATAAATTAAATAAAACCACAATTTACAATTCTATACGTTTATATTTATAGTAAATATCTACAGCGCGTTTCTATTCCTTAGGTTTCTTAACATAGCCTTCTTGAATTAAGAAGTCGTACAGTTTCCTCGTTTTATTCACATCTATTTTGAGCAGTCTTCGGGCCGTCAGTAACTTCAAATGTCCCATCTTGTTGTTTTCGGCAATTAGCACTGCTTTCAGTTCTAAATAGTTCAACGGCGGCAATCTTATATTCCTGCACAAATCCCTCTCCGTTTGCAACAGTTTCTCGTATCCAGGCATTCCGATAATTTCTAGAGGCGTGCGACTTCTCCTTTTCACTGGACATATGTTTATCGGAACTGGGATATTCTTGTATTTAATATTTAGTTCAGCAATCTGCTGATACCGTTTTATTTCTTTTACACTATCTTCTCGGAGATTCTTCAGTTTAACATATAATTGGGCCTCATCGAGAGTTGTGATTCCTTGCTTTCTAAACTCACACAATCTATAAAAATAGACATATGATTTATAGAGGTACAAACATTAAAATTATAAACAATTTCACCTTGCTATTTGGATTTTCAGCTCTCCAGCCCTGTGCAAACCCTCCATTAAGTATTCAAAGCCCCTCCCATTGAAAAATTGCATGAATCGAATCAGTTTCTCATATATCGGAGGCGTAATTGTCATATCATACCTATGTAACCATGAAGTAGTCTTCTGCTGCATAATAAGCCCATGCTCCCTTATTATATTTTTTCTCCTCTGCCTTTCCCACACTTTTCTTCTATACGCATTCACTATTGCCTTCTGCAAATCACTAGCTATATCATAAAATTTGTGTTCTGAATCAAATAATTCTAATGTACTTATAGTATCTTCTGCATTCTTATCAAAATCAAATTCAAAATCCGATCTAGCTGCATTGTATCCAGCTGGTGCAGAGTCTCTGCTTCTGATTGGGTCTTGCACATTATTTAACCTAAACCTGTAAGGCACAACAGGCTGCATGACATGATCATCTATCTGGACTTTAGGTAGCTGATCACTACCTTTTCTCATAAGATAGTAATAATCATAATGTTTCTTAATATCTTTAAAACTTTTGTTTGGCAGAAGTGTTGTTATCTTGCTGAAATTGCTCAATGTTAAAATGCCATTGAGCAAGATCATCTCCTCTTTGGCTGTCCAGTCTGAACTCTTGAAGAGTTCAAACTCATTGCTCATCACCTTGTAATTGTGATCATTCCTGTGTGGACCCACCTCAGCCCCATTCGCAAAACACTTAGTACATAGATTAAAGTCACATTGAACACACAAAATAAAAGTGTCAAACAATTCGGTATCGCACTTAACGCATTTATAAAATGCTGTAAAACATTCGTCTGTAACAGTTTGAATTTTACACTAATAAAGGAATATACGAAAAAAAAAATGTATGTACATACCTTTAGGAAACTGCAAATCTGCGGCATCTTCTTCAGTTAAATCAGTATTGGTATTATGGACATTCATGTTATGTGTTTTGTATTTCCTTGTCTATAGATAATTGAAAAGTAAATTATTGAGCTTAAGAACTACAGTTCGAGATTGATGCAAGGAATAAATTATGAAGAAAAATGTAAATATGAACCTAAAAATTAGTGGAAAAAACATAAAGAAATCAAAATCCCTAGGTATGAACCTACCTTCAATGTTTACTCCTATAGATCAGACCTGATCCAATTTGTCAGATTTAAAAGTTAGCAAGTATGTATAGAAAATAATTATATATATATATATACATTAATATACATAAAAAGGGCGGCTGATAATGGGAAGTCCTTACTCCTTACCTCCACACATGTTTCACATTGCCTCCACATTTTGAGCATTTTATAGGGCATGCGCGTATTGTTTTGCTTACTTTTTGAATAGTCCATCTAACAGCCTCTATTATTTAGTCCACTTTAGTCACTGTTGTGCAGAAGTTTAAGTTTGAGTATCATTCTGTATTGTGCATCATTTTGTGTATTAGAAAATATAATAATGTCATCTAAAGACACAAATAAACTTAATAAAATATTGGATAATGCCAGAGATTCTGTTAGTAATTCAAAATTGGAACAAATGTATCTTCTGAGAGAACAGGACCTTAGCTATGTAAAAGAGAGTTTCAATCTAATTAATACCAGTGATAAAGAAAATATATTTTCATGGATAAATAAGCTGAAGAGTAATTCCTATATAGTATTTTTCAAATCCGAGAACGAGCTATCCAGAGAGTATCCTTTCCTAAACAAAATGGATTTTATTTTAATAATAATTAATCGTGGGCAATTGGAAATGCTTCTAACTTACATTAGTGACTGTGTTTGTATACATGGAACAAATACTTTGAAGGAATGTCGTTTAGAATTGTATTCATTATTAATATTAAATGAATTACGAGAAGCATTCCCATGTGCTTTTTTGATCACAAATCGTTGTGACGAACAAGTTTTCTCCCTATTTTTTAAGTATATTCAGAGTAAATGTATGCAAAAAATATGTGCAAAAGTGTTCGTATCTGACATTCCAGATTTTTATTATAATGCTTGGGTACAAGAGATGCATCCAGCTGAATTTCGGTATGATTGAATTATTAATATTGTTAGGTAACCTGAAGTAACCAAAATTAATTATTTTTTAGTTTATATTGTATATGGGATGTGGACGTAGATTGGAGAAAAAATTTAAGTAAAATAAATTCCAAGGAGAAACAGGTATGTAACAATTGGAAAAGTTTAAACAATTTAATAATTATTTATTTCAATATTTAGATTATTGTATATACAAAGTTGCGAGTTTTGCTGTATGAATTGGATAAAACAGCATTTTCTAAAAAAATCCAGTCTTTAATTAAAAATCTCTTGGAGAATGAGGACACCAACAGTTTCGGAACATATTTTCAAAGTAATTATGGCAATAAAGTATCATTGTGGGCTTATTGTTATACAATACATTGTGGAATAAATACCAATATGCATTTGGAAAGAATGCATTGGACATTACAATATTTATTTATAAATAGGGATCTCACTAAAACGCTTCATGGATCCATTCACACTATAATGAAGTTTATAAGGGATATATATTTTGAAGATGATGTCTTTACGTCAATTGAATCAAAATCGCTTGGAAAAAAAAGAAATTCAGGGTATAGGCATACAGAGAGTGAAATGAGAGTGGCTGAGACTAATGTGTTGGTAGGTGAATCGAGGGGATTTAAAGTGATCTCTAAGTCATCACGTATTTACACAATACTTGAAGACAACATCTCTTGTAGTTGCAAAATGGTCTGCACACAATGTGATGTGTGTATCCACAAATATTCTTGTTCGTGCATTGATTTCGCAATCGGTTGGAATATGTGCGTACATATTCACTTAGTTCAAATGTACATGAAGTCACACTCAGAAACAAAATTGAAGGAAATAGTATAATCAGGTATTATATCATTATTTTGTCATTAATTTAAGATGACGATGATATACTTACTCTAACTTATAAAGTTTATTATTTTTAAAATTGTATCGTTGCAGAATTACCACGTATAATCAGCACAGTGGAACCTCGCTTAACCAGTTTAATCCGTTCCAAAATTTCCGAATTTTTACTGTATAGTGAAACATATTCAAAAATACAACATAATATGTGCAAACAAGTTTTAAAAATGATGTAGCAGGCGCGCAATCCGGGACTTCTCTTCTCATCGTCACTCGTTATGCGAAACGTCGCTCGTTAAGCGAATCATTTTTCTTGCAAGTCATTTTACTCGTTAAGCGAGGTTCCACTGTACTTAAGTTGTTAAAGTAAAATTAAACAAGTAATAAACGAAATGTTAATAATAAATAAGTAAACATATTTATTTTCCTTAACTTAATTAAATACACAATACTCTATATACATTTTCTGTAAATTGAAAAATTATTAAATTATACGCGTTCCACGCAGATGTCATGTTAAAGTCTTTCAATGTACACATATAACACACTTGCCAATAAATCCTAACCAACGTAAAAAAAAAGAAAAGTAATCACATTTATACACATCACAAATCAAGAGGCAAAAACAACATCATTGCAAAGCTGCTTCATTTATGCTGGTCTTTCCGGTATAAATTTGTTATTGCTGGAGTAATTGAATTTTTTCAATTCCTTTCGAAAATAATCGACGGTTCGCTGCAAGCCAACGGCGAGCGACACCTGCGGTTCCCAGTTCAAATACTTCTTCGCCCTGGATATGTCCGGCCTTCTTCTTTGAGGATCATCCTCTACCTCCGCTAAATGAATTATTTTGCCGCTACCTCCAACCAAGTCTTTGATAATTGTCGCAAATTCTAAAAGAAGTAAATATATAATAATAATGAGATGATTCCATTCACTAATTTAAAATTAATATTATGATAAATAGAATATGGAACTATCTATAGAATTTGAAAGATTACGTAATTAATGTACCATTTATCGTGTGTTCTACAGGATTTCCAAGATTTATGGGTAATGAATAATTGGATGCCATGAGTGCAACCAACCCATCCACCAAATCAGTCACATATTGAAACGATCTAGTCTGTTTTCCGGATCCATAAATCTATATATAAACAGAAAGCAAGATTTGATGTAATATATAATCGAAATATTTGTTTCAAGTTTTAAATGCAACTTACAGTTATAACGTCGTTCTGTAAAGCTTGGAGTATAAAATTAGAAACAACTCGTCCATCGTTCATGTGCATTCTGGGTCCGTACGTGTTGAATATCCTGGCAACACGAACCTCAATGTTGTGTTCTTTAGCGTAGGCGTAGCTAAGCGTTTCCGAAACCCTTTTGCCTTCATCGTAACACGCCCTCGGTCCAATAGGATTCACGTGTCCCCAATACGTTTCCGGTTGTGGATGTATATCTGGATCTCCGTAAACCTCAGAAGTGCTGGCTATCAGTACCTTCGCATGCACCCTCCTCGCTAATCCTGCAACAACAATTATATAATTTAATATAATCAATGCACCTGAAATATTCAATCTTACCTAATATGTTAATTGTTCCTATAGTATTTGTCTTAATTGTCTTCACCGGGTTAAGCATGTAATGGGGAGGACTCGCAGGACTGGCAAGATGGTAAATTTGGTCGACCTCGATGAAGAGAGGGTTCACAATATCATGGTGGATCAGCTCGAAGTTCTTGTGACCGATCCAATGCTCCACGTTGCGTTTACGACCGGTGAAGAAGTTGTCCACTACAATCACTTCGTGTCCTTGGAACATCAGTCTATCAACCAAATGCGAACCAACAAAACCTGCACCTCCAGTGATCTATAAAATTAAAAAACAATTTGTTAATACAGGGCATTCTACATGGATAATAAATTATATTCTTGAGTAAAAAATCATTAAGTACAATTCAATTCAATAATATAAACAATTTTTGTGATTTCTATCATTAAAAATTATTATAACAAATCTTGAATCATTAAATAAATTGAAAACTTCAAGATTAATTAATGTGATAATATTATCAGTAAATATTTGTGCTGTATACTGGAATGTCTGGTATATAGAATACAAAACAATGGCTTGTCAAATGTATGATTAATTCTTCAGGATTATGCTGAGTTGCATCTCTTTATCTATATAACTACTCTTCCTTGAATTCTAAATAATTGTAATGTTATACCTTTTCTTTTGTTATTCTCAAGTATGAGATATTAAATTAAAATTTCTTCTGAATTATCTCACCAATATCCTTTTCCTCTCCAAGTAATTCAATGATTTAATTTGTGGATACTTCTTGGGTACTCGAGCCTCCAAATTGGCAAACTCGATTTCCAGATCCTTCAATCTGCTGCTGATATCATCGAGGGCCTTTGCATGGGCTGCCTCATGCTGCTCAGCATCTAGGTCAGTCCCTTCGTCGTAATTGGTAAACTCATTGCTAGAAAACTTGTATATCACTAGGAAACCTATAACACAGAAAACAGCACAACATAACCTAAGCATTGCTCAAACACAAAAAAAAATTCTCAGTCAAAATGCAACTCGAAATTCACCTGTTACACTAAGGAACACGAACAGACCCAATTGCCTTATTTTTCGAGGTGATATTTGTGTCATATTTACACATTATTATTGTGAATAAAATGCGATCGGATTCATCGGAGCTGCTGCTGCTTCTTCTGCTGCTGCTGACTACTGTTTACTCATGGTTGGTATTTCGCCGAGTTTGACAGGTCACATGGCCTACCCATCAGCGCTACGATTGCTTGTAACCTTCCCCACTAATTAAAGGTCAAAAGTGTATGCGACGACTCAATTTTGACTTCGGAACGCTCGGATTCGGCGGCTTATAAATGCGTGCAGGTTGATGCGGACCTCCTCAGTTCAGGTTTACTGCTGCAGATAAAACGTGATCATCTTAGAAACATGACCTCCAGATTTGCGCAAGTTGAGGCCGCACCGGCTATCGAAGTCTTCGCTCTCAACAAGGGATACACCGAAGACACTTTCAAAAATAAAGTTAGTCTTGGTGTCGGAGGTAAGATATCATCCACAATTCCATCCGGCCTGCATTAGTCGTGATCCACTTACATCAATGATAATTACACATCTACTCAATATTCGCATCTTTTTATTTTCTTTGCCTTTCTAATTGCACACGGTAATTAGCGTGGAAATCATATAACGAACCGTTCAATTTTCTCGATAGATATTTACAGATACAGAACACTTTATCTACCTGATATATTTAGTAAAAAAAAAGGAAAAACCAGAACGTAACAAATCAGTTAATTATCATTTCACTGCACTTATCCTAATTGATGCGTAATAATTAACCGTGTCCAAAGTGCGTATACCAAAATCAAGTGCTCGTTTGTTTGAAACAGGTGCTTCTCTTAGCAACGTCGAATAAATTTGCTCGATAACCATAGTAATCTTAATAATTTCAAAGGCTGAAAATAGCTTCTTCAATATTTAGTTTCTAAATATCGACTTAAAAACCAAGTAAATATATTCCAATAAGATTTAACATTTCGATTCCTACAAAAACGAAATTAATTTTAATTGTTTTGAAATATAAATCATCCACGAATCAAATGAATACCTTCATTAAGTAATGTTTAAAAGTTCAATCATACTACCAAAAAAAGACATTGTAATCCCTTTTTTTTGTTCTATAAATACAATTCAAATTCGTAATTTTATTTAATAAATTATAAAATACTTACATAATAATATTGATATTTATTTGTTTAAATACTTTCTCATATACAATAGTGAACTTTGAAATTTATTTTTCACATAATGCAATCAGTGTTAGTAATAATAACATAATGTTTTTTATTAAGAATTAAACAAATACATTGAAATATAATTATCAATAACCACGATGTCCTTTTAGCCAATTTGTTATAGTGTAGCACTTTTCTACTTGACTACAATTCAATTGGAACAATTTAATTGCAAAATATACAATAATTTTATATTGCGCTGTAATATTTTTTATTGTTTGCTATTATCAAATGAAATGTTTATCGTTCGCATTAATTTAAATTGTTAGTATTGTATTAGATGCTTTTATGCTTCTTGATACATAATAAACGTTTAAAATGAGCATTAAATTTATGAAAAGTTCATCCTTTGAATATAGAGTAAAATCACTTAATTGTTTATTGAAAATGAATGTTTTTATGTGTAAATGATTTTGATAAAAGGCTCGCCAAATGCAGACATTAAGAAAGGTGTTGTTAATGATGATAACACTGTATTTATTTGCAACTTTTGCAAATGTAATTAGTTACAGTACTGATTTTTTTGTTAAAACTGTAGAATGCTTTGCCGGAAGTTCTTTTTATTTTTCTGATGCTGCTGACCTATATGAGTGTTACATGTACGCCTCTCTTTATCTTGTTTCTGCGATTAGTGCTCTTTTTTTTCTCTGTTCTTGTATTATCATTTTATTTATAACCGAGCGACTCGAAACGTCAAGCGGCAGTTACGTAACGCAGAATATTGAAATAATTATCTGAGATAAGTCCTAATCATATGTTGTTTCGTAAATATTTTAAAATTAAATTCTCGCTTCGGTCGTGCATTTGCGAAAAGAAGAAATATGTATATGTGGAAATACACATGATGGATTATTCATTCGAAATATCATATTTTTGTAAAGTTTCCAGTTTATCGGTTCGAAAAATCTTATGCCGTGTCTATACTTGTTAGTCTTTTTTTGCATAAGTCATGAATTCTATTTGTATATTTAGAAATGCAGACTGTTGGACGATACGAAACACGTAGAGTTTAGTTGCTGTATAAATACAGTCAGTCACACACCTCGATCAACGAATGCGTACCACGAAATTATTTTGTCAAACGAAACATTGTTTTCAGAGATAATGTTAATGTTAGAATACGTTTCTACTTAAAGACAATTTAAAACCTTTTTTCTTTGAACAAAGAAAATTTTGCAATTAAATCATCATCAAAAAATATGTATGCGACTGAAACAGCAGGTTGCCGACTCTTGGCTTACGCAATAACAATTTTTCTTAAATCAGGATCATATTCACATAACATGGTTTAGTCAAAAAGCTTTAACTATCAATTCCACTTTCTCTAGGATTTAAATAGTGGACTTTCTTATACTACTGTTTTTTATTACTACCTTTTTTCATTGAATTCCTCAATCGTTTAGTGTACAGTGGAACCTCGCTTAACGAGCATTTCGCCTAACGAGCAAATATATATCGTATATATCATTAGTTTATATGGGAAAAATTGTTTCAATATACGAGTAAACATCTGGAAATTTTGGAACGGACTATGCTCGTTAAGCGAGGTTTCATTGTACTTGTAAATAATAATGGGTTTGGAAAATGTCATCAAGAAAGTCTTTGTATCACTGCTTTCAAATTACTGAATTGCACTTAACCGATAATAATTTTTACTTGTAAATTATGTAAATAATGTCAATGTTTCGTTTTGCCCAATCTCCATCTGATTCTCATATTTTATATTTATATTTTATATTTATATAATACAGAAATGTGCAACAGATTCTTCTTAATATCAATAATAAATCTTCGTTGTAGTAACAAACACATTTTTAGGCAGGAAATCTCTTTCATTATTATATCAACATAAAATTACGATGTTCTCTTGTGCTCCTCATGTTCCAAATTTTCGAATATCTTTGTTACATTTATAAAAATCAGTTGATTGAACGACACACTTATTCTATTGGTAATATTCCTGGTATTTTCTTTAATTGATAATAAAGGTTGTTATTTTATAACAACATTTCTAATCGAATATGAAAAATGTTTATCCATTATTTTGTATCGTATTTATAGATATACAATATATTAATATTTCTTAATGCAAAATGTTTAAACAAAGATTATTTTTGTTAAGATCATTGTATGTATGTGTTTTGTCCATTATATGTGTATATTTGTACGGAATCCACACTTAATACTTTAAGTTGTTTGTTTCGATCCCTGCAGAAGTCCATTTATATTAGAGAAACCTTAGAAGAATACACTATTATTGTTACACTTCAATAAATTACTCATGAAATTGTTGCTTGATTTTTGTTTTGTATATTATAGTAGCAAACTCAACCTTCAAGCGAATTTTCACTTTAATTGCTGAATAATATTGACCTTGTAACGTTTGCAATAATGGAGCACTATATATTTAATTATCGTAGGAAATGCACTGAGAATGTTTGTTTTGATAAATTAGTATTTTCATATTAAGTTAAAATCTAATCTAACACATTTTTTTGCGAGATAATTTAAAGTAGATTTGATAAATAATATTTATTTACTTATATAACAATAAATTGATTGTTTGATTTAGCATACAGAAATGAGGAAGGCACACCATGGGTTTTGCCGGTGGTGAGATTGGCCGAAAAGAATTTGGCCGCTGATGATACCATCAACAAGGAGTACTTCCCCATTCTTGGTTTGGAAAATTTCTCATTCAACGCCACGAAGCTGCTGCTCGGCGCCCAGAATGATGCTTTCATCGAACAGAGGGTAAATAAATTTGTGTTTTCTTTGTTTATTAAGTAAAATTATTTGTTTTTTTTTGTCTTTAGGCATTTGGAGTTCAATCATTGTCCGGCACTGGAGCTCTCCGAATTGGTGCTGAATTCTTGCACCGAGTGCTCGGCTACAACGTGTACTATTATTCGAATCCCAGTTGGGGTGCGTTGACTACAACGAGTCACGTTTACGAACGTTTTATGTGATTGCCGCTGAATTTACAGAGAACCACAAGCTGATCTTCAACAATTCTGGTTTCACCGAGAGCAGGGAATACCGCTACTGGTGCCCAGAGAGTCGCGGTTTGAACATGGAGGGTCTTCTGGAGGATTTGCGCGGCGCCCCCGAAAACGCCGTCATCATCCTGCACGTCTGCGCTCACAATCCGACCGGTTGCGATCCCACCGAAGAGCAATGGAAGGAGATCGCCGACGTCATGGAGGAACGCAAGCTTTTCCCGTTCTTCGACTCCGCTTACCAGGGCTTCGCTTCCGGTGATCTGGAAAAGGATTCGTGGGTGGTCAGGTACTTCGTCTCCAGAGGATTCGAATTGTTCTGCGCCCAATCGTTCAGCAAAAACTTTGGACTGTACAGTAAGCGCGCAACGGAAAAATACGCAATCATTGATTTAATCTAAATGTTTGTTTGTCATTTTTCATTGAATTCAAATTGGATATTACGAAATACGACGTTGATGTTTGTTATTTTTAGACGAGAGGATCGGAAACTTGACCATCGTCCTGAACAATGCCAGTAACGCTCCCCTCATCAAGTCCCAGATGAGCATCATCGTCAGAGGAATGTACTCTAACCCGCCAAGCCACGGCGCCAGGATCGTCTCCTTCGTCTTAAACAACAACGATTTGTTCAACGAATGGTATAATCTTTAAAATTGATGATATTTTATGCAAGTAATAACTAATATTCGTTGGAATATTCAGGAAGGACAACGTTCGCACGATGTCCACCCGCATCTTCGAGATGCGTAAAGCTCTGAGAGGTGCTCTCGAGAGGCTGCAGACCCCAGGAAACTGGGATCACATCACCACTCAAATTGGAATGTTCTCATACACTGGTTTAACAGGTAATTAGCACCGATCGTTTAATGATTGTTTATATAAATGAACCAGATTAACTAAGTTGACTTTGCGATAACACTGATTATCAAAGATTACGTACTCCTATAACCGCATTAATCAAAGGAAAATCATTTTTACAGAAAAAAAAAATATAGTTATATAGAAAGTATTTGCATTTAGTAACTATATATTTAAAATAAAAATAATTATCATTCAGCAATATAATCAAAATGTTGGTGTATTATCTTATTGAATATATGAAATTTTGAAATATTTCTCGAAATAAACCAATAACATTTCGATATTGTTTATTTGCGTCGAATGAAAAAATCTATTAAAAGCATATTTCATAGCAACAACTTGTTTTCATCTACAATAAGTTTATTATTCTGGTGTTACGTAAACAGTATGATTGCTGATATTATTATCGGAAAATTACACAGGATTTGTTTTGTATGTTTCGATCATCATCATAATATTTATTTTATTTTACTTTTCTGTTTAATTAAATGAACAAACATTGTACTTTTAATTGTTTACAAAGGATTGAAATGAAAAGTATAATAACAGTAAATTATTAGTAGTAATGTTATTAAAAAACTTCGATTTTCTAAACATACAACTAATAATCAAAACGTATAAATATAATTCTGTTTCATTATACTATTATAGAATAAGTATAATACTTTTTTTGATAAATGACAACAAATTTTCAACAATACAAATTTATTTTTGCATATTATTCATCATTACATTCAAAAATGGATAATTTTCTACAAAATTTAATATTCTACTTATTTCTTTTAAAATAATTACTTCATTTCAATTCATAATATTTATTTGTATATAAATATTAATAAATAGGATCTCCCATAGTATTGTAATAAAATATTAACATTTAAATTGTTTAGTTGAATATTTTGCATGAAAAACTTTAAATACTTACCAGCTTATAATTAACATTTCGTGTAAACACATTGCCACGATTTCTCGTTAATTTAGTGCGATTGTAACGCTGACCAACAAAATTACTTTATTCACTTATTTTTTTGTTTCAGCAAAACAATCACAGCATATGGTCGAGAAACACCACATCTACATGCTCCGTTCCGGCCGTATTTCCATGTGCGGTTTAACACACAAGAACATCGAGTACGTCGCTTCGGCAATCCACGAAACCGTCTGCAACATTACCAACAAACTGTAAACGTCTTCGTCTATGAACTGAAACAAAATTATACCAAAATGGATATTTTACATTGAATATATTTGATCATCAATTCAATATATTAATTTACTACAATGTATCGATAGATTTACGTATATACACACCAGTAAACACATATTAAAAAGAAAATGCATTAAAAGACACGAATTATCATAAATTTATTTATTTACACAAACTATATATATATATTTTTATATGTATAATACTACAAATAATTTGTTTCTTTAAATCTTTGTTACTTCCTCCTTTGTTGTATTCGATACCATCCAGAAATCCTCCATTACATTTGCTTCTTTTATACACTCTTTCTTTTATATAATCTATATGAGAAAACATATATCCTAAATACAAGCTATTCATTATATATTTTTTGTTTGTTTATATATATATATACCTTTTTGTTTTTTTTTTAATATATTATTTACATATAATTTGTATCACACATTTTCAATTAAATACATAAAATTAATAAATAGGGTTAATTTTGTAAATATTCATAAATTCAACTGCGACTGTTAGAACTAATCAACTAACGAAAAAATGAACACATAACGCTCCATATGCAAACCAAAAATTAAAACTATATGGATTTACATCTTTACATGTTTTCGAGTTTGGCCAAAGGCACTACTGTTTCTTCCAATTTGATTGTAATAGAAAAGTTTAAATGAATTCTTTTAAATCTGGAATGTACGACGACGAAAACATTAGTAAACGATAAAACACAACAAAGAAATTCAATAAATAACGTTGAAAATTAGTTTGTTTTGCAAATCGATTCTCTTATAATGCAATTATCAATTGGCAGGTATTATTATTATTATTATAATTCACAACTTTTACACGATCAAATAAATATCACACATTCTTTCCCATTATTCTTTTGGACTATATTACAAATTACAATTCAAGGGACATTTAGGGCTTATCAAACGAATACATTCAATATAAGTTATGTATTTTTTTTAATAAAGAAGCCTTGCGTATTTGAGATGCGTTAACTCTTTTTTTTTTCTTTAAATGTTTATTCATTACTCGTATTTGTCGTTCTGTTTTAATTAGTTCGAAGTGTGTGTGAGTGTGTGCCGTGCGACGGTTTCGTGTCCTAAAATTCCTTGAGCCAAACTTCCACTCTTCCATTGATACCAGTCAAGGAAGAATGTTTGTTCGTTTTATTTTTTTGATTTTCGTCCTTGCGCGGTGCATTCCTATCCAAGAATATTTACTTATATGTGCATGTTATTTATTTCTGTATTAACATTAGTATTACGTTTCCACTATCTCCGCTTTGGAAGATGTTTTGCATATTCACTTGCGACTTGGTGTTCTTTTCTATTCGAAAAGTAAAGATCTTCAATAAAAATTTAAAAAAATATGTAATTAAAAAAAAAAACTTAAACCTAAAGAACAAAAAGTCGATGAAGACCATCGAAAAATTACCAACGATGTTAAACGTTGTTGGTTGTTAACGCAGCTAATATTAATCTCCTGTTTATTTTTTTTTTGGTTGATAAGTTTTCGTTTTGGCAGTGCTCGTGTGTGTACGTATATTAACGTCATCGTTAATTTTCGAATGGTTCGACCTAACAAATCACCTAAGCACATCTCGCAAATTCTCTTCAAAACAAATTTTAATATTATTGTAAATATTTTTTTTTCCTGTATTTTACTTCTCAGTCGAATCTAAATAATATGACGTTTTCAACTAATCACAATGTCTTCTCTCTTTGATATTTGTTTTTCCTTCCTCTTATTCTTCTTCTTTTCTTGTTGTTTTCATACATATTCTCATCTTAAGTTTGTTGGGCGTCGAACGCTACGATATAATTATTGTCAAACAAATTCTATGCAAGTCTTATCGTAAACAATATTGGAAAAATAATAAATTAGAAAAACTGCAGCATCTATGCTATACGTTTTTTCTCGTCTGGCTCTCATCGTTGGGTCGGAATTTCCGTTTGGCTGTCGTCTTCGCTTTCCGTCAGCACGGCCATATTCGTGTCCGGTAGAATGGTCAGATGGGTGGCGTCGGATTGTAAGGTGCTGCATTCCCCTGGAGCTCCACCCGGCTCCTTCTTCTGGTGAAGAGCTTGAACGAAATTCTGCAAAATTCACACAAAATAATCACAATTTAGTCTTCGAAATTATTGAGTTTCTAGAATAAGTAAAAATTCAATTTCATCATCAATTCATTATATAATCACACCTCCATACTCACTTAAAACATTATTAATGTCTGCTGATTATATAAAATACAAAACTGGAGTACTTCATTATCAAATACTATAATTATCAAAATATTTAATGTGTTCTTCAAGATCAACAATTTTCAAAAGATATATAACATTTAAAATGCGATTAAAGAAAAGCAATACTCGCATTGTCCGGGTGTTTGAAATAATTTTGTGTACTATTTTTTTAAAATTTATTGTTTATTTAGTTCTATAAAAAATTAGTTTGTTTTGAAGTTTTAAAACCAGACAATAGTGAAACTGGACTTATCTGTATTTTCATAAATTTATGAAGAATTGGAACCAACTAAATACAATAATAATAGTTTCAATCTTTCATATTCAATATTTAGTAGAACTTCTATACTATAGAATTTTAAATCAGCAAAATACTTGTTTGTAGTTGCAATTGTTTATAACATATTTTAATGCTTTGTGTCAAAGGTGACAGCTGTCATTTCGCAACTCAATAAAAACACAATACACAGGTTGAGAAACGCAGATCTATATGTCTATAATGCTTTGTTAAACAATATTATACTACATCCATTATTCTACATTTAATGCTTAATCAAATTATATTAACAAAATACACAAAACTAAAAATATAATTCGTTTTCCAATTCATAATATTTAAGAAATTCTAATTTTAATCCAGAAAGCACATATTAATTAGCTTTAATTTAATTTAACTCATCTAAAACTAGAACACTGGCCTGTGACTAAATCTACTTAGAATGAAGCTCAAGAATTGGGGGTAAACCAAGCAAAAACAGCACATGTTACTTTTACTGTGAAACTTCTATTCGAAAACTCACAACCAATTAGGGAAAGTAATTTACTAATATATAAAGTTATATTAAAACCTCTTTTCATCTTATGGCTTACAACTTTGAGAAGCAGAAAGCGTATCAAATATCGAAACAATTCCAGAAGAAAAAAATATATAATTGTTATATTACTAAAAAAAAAAGTTTCTTTTGACATTGTTGCAGAGTTAATTATAACTTTATATAGGTAATATAAATAAGTGACCTATTTCTATAATATTTATCATTCTATCTATATAATATAGCAACAAATATTGAATGATTAAAGAAATATAAGTACTTTCAAGTTTATAATTAGTATATTGATTATTAGCTTGTATTAGCATTTCGCTTAATGATCAAAATGAATTGTAAGAAAAATTACTCGCTTAACGAGCGACGTTTCGCATAACGAGTGACGATGAGAAGTCCTCGATTGTGCGCCTGTTACATCATTTTTAAAACTTATGTACGCATATTATGTGTATTTTTGAATATGTTGCACTATACGAGTAAAATCCGCAAATTTTGGATCGGATTAAACTCGTTAGGCGAGGTTCCATTGTACTATATTTGAATATTTAAACTTTAAAGCAATAATCGCTGAGACTTAAAATATGTTAAGTTCTGTAATTACTCAATTTATATAGAGAATAGAAAATACAAAAATTTATCAATCACTTTTAATTGAAGCCATGAAATTTTAATTATTTGAAATTTATCATCTAATGACTATTATAAATACATACAACTGGTTATGAAATAGCCAAAATTTCGTTGATTTCCCGTTAGGCGGATCGTAGCCGAAGGTATAATAAAATGTAACCAGTTTCTTTAACATCTAATGATAAGCAATTATCTCGAAATTCCGAAACTACGAACGGCATCTCCGATCCGAAACAAAAGAATTGCGTGCATCTCGGATCGCAGCATACCTCTCTCTTTCTCTCTACTCTCTTTCCACATAGAATTGCTATTATTTTTCAGCAGCATTCCGAACGGACAACGAATGGAAATAATGCACTGAAGCGCGCACAACTTTTTAATATTTACAACCGGTGTTTTCAGTTTTATTTCTCTGTATATATATTTTTTGCAGCGACTCGGATGCAAGAAAATTGAAAAATCCGAACGGAATTCATGAAAGAACTCGATTTTTATTTCACGAAAAAGCCCACACACACACACTAGTATGATGCATTTTCCTTTCACGAAAATCGCATTTCTTGCATTCAATAAGTGCACAACGTTGCTGAATGTCGAATATTTACAAATGCTCAACACAAAACGAACGATATTTGGTTTTGCTTCTATCCATTTCCGATAATTTATTACATCCGTTTATAAGAAATTTACATTTATTGTTTTAAAAACCTTTTAGTCGGTAAACATTGTTTCGCGAAACATCGTTCACTTTACAAGCTTAAAATGTAATTTCAAAGATAGGAAGAGTTTCTTAGTTGAGTTATGGTTCGCGCAAGATTTCCCTAAGGTATCAATTTGTACGCTATAAATAGTAAAGTTGTAATATATAAATCATCGGAATCGATTTCTGTCTTATTAATAATATACGAACTGCTTCCAATATCTTGTATTTGTTTTTAATAAAGTATGCAACTTTAAGTACGCATGGAGGTCGACATGTAATTGAAATTATTAATCATTCCCTCAGGCTACGCGAATTTATCTTAATAAGCTGACAATATAATATTGGGTATTCGAAACATATTCAAAAATTACATTCTATGAATACAAATTTATTGTAGTTTCAACATTTCTTTCAGTTTATATAATGCAAATATATTATAAGCAATAATCAAATTTATTACGAAGTTTTCCCATCAAACAGCCATTATCAATGAGATCCTTCAATAGTGTGTAGTTGGTTATCTGTACAATCCACATTATATTTTGTGTAGTTTCTTTGTTTAAATAATTTGTTTATACATAAGTGATCGTTGTATTTATTTATATGCAGATTTAAAGTCCTTAATTAATCAGGTTTCAAACAGTCCGGAATATTGGCGGTATAGAGCAACTAATGATGATTCTATTTAGTAAGAATTAACTACCCTTCGTCCACTACCAACGGCTTTACTATGTAATTATTAGGTATGGTGAATTTGGCAGATGTTCTATCATAAATAACAGTATTTTTGTAATATAAATTTGCCAAAAAGTAAACAAATATAAATGAAAACAACTAAAAAATACAATTGCAATAAATATTCAATTATTTTCAATAATTGCAAATTAAATGTCTTCAATATTTTATTTGCTAATTCTATCACTTTCTATAAACATTTTATGATAGTTTATCAGAGTTTTCAATAAATAATTTAAAAATCTTGTCATTTTTATGTTAACAAGAAAATTATTTACTCTGTAGATAACTATCTGTTTGCTGACTGTCAACACACGTTTTGGTATAGATAGTTATAACGTAAAGTACATAATTTCGGCAAGGAAACGGCAAATTTCAACTATACATTCTTCTTGTAGATATATTTGCAATTAGGTTAATTTTTCATTATTAATTGAAGAAATAACTATATTTTTTAATGTTTCTATAAAGTAGATACACTTTTTTCTTGCGAATAAGATTTTTTTCATATTTTTTTTTAGAAAATCGTTCATAAAATGTTACAAAATACAAAAAACTGAGAGTAATAAGATGTGAAATGATAAATTATTTTTAACAATAAATTTATTGAATTTACTTCCAAATAATGAATGTTGTTTAAAACTTATAGAATAATTACTATACTGGAAATAATGCTATTAAGATGTTTTTAAAGTTATTTTCAATCAATTGTTTTTGCCATTTCCTTCAGGTAAGGAACGCCAAATAAAGTATTTTTTTTATTTAATAATATAAATACTTTTTAACTACTTTATAAATCTGGATCATCTTCATAAATTTAAAACATATTCAATGCCATTTAAGCATCTTATTAAATCTTTGGTTGTTCATATTTTTACGGGAGACACTTTATTTGTCTAAGTTTTCTAAATCTTCTACTAGAAAACCATGCAATCAATAATTTTGAATATTTACGCATTTCTTAGTGATTTATTTGTAAAAAATATCAATGTTTTTGGATAATTGCGGACTTTGTTAACAACTATATTTTTATTTCATACTTTTGTTAGTGTATTTTCATTGCATAATTATTGCATTAATGAACAAGAAATTAAGAAAATCACAAAGAAATATTACAATTAATCTATTAATGCTCGTTCTTTTGATTTTGATTAATTTATTTAGTTCTTCACTTTGTAAAATGTTCATTTACATGAAACATCATCTCTTGTATAATTCATATTTACCATAGATATGGTATTATATATGTTGAATATTAGTTTCGGTAAGTTTTATCCGCATTTAATCTCGATTTAAATTCATTGAAGTTTCCACACGTGTAAACTTCCTTGTTAATATTCATGCAAAAGTTATTCAAATTTGATTACACAATTTCAATAACCAGAAATATCTTCTATTCCAATGTAAAAACAAAATAATTTCCATTATTGTATCATTTAAAACATAATTATAAATGAATACAGTGGAACCTCGCATAACGAGCATTTCGCTTAATGAACAAAAATGACTCCAAAATGGAACGCATTATCGTATATTACATTACTTTATATGGGGAAAATTGTTTCAATATACGAGTAAAAATCTGGAAATTTTGAAACGGATTATGTTTGTTAATCGAGGTTCCACCGTGTTTCGTTAACAAAATCATTTAATTAATAAATTATATCTACTACATTTATTTTCTGACTGGTGGCTATATAAAATTTAAAAATAATTCTAATTTATTATCCCTTGAAATTGATGGATCGTATAAGTCTTAATTTACGAATGCATTTGTAGCGTACTTCCAAAATTAGGCTAACGCTTTATACCAACCCATGAGTAACCCATACTTTGTAAAGTGTCAGCCTGTGTCTGTTTTACGTCGGAGGGAGCAGCACATCCTCTAAACTTGACTAACAAATCACACTTAGATTTATAAAAGGAAAATGCAAAAATATGGGTCTCATTTCTACTGCTTAAGACTGAAAATAAATATAGTAATATCTCACACAGTGCGGCTTTGATCAATCCGGTTTCAAAATAGTATAGTTTTGAAAATTTCTAGTAAAAACTATATTTCTGATCTCTTTTTGTGCTATTTATTATTATGCGATTTTAAAGTCTTTGATTAGTCCGGCTTTGTCACATTTGTTTTTAATGCGAACTATATATATAAAATTTATAAAACTGTATTAATGTAATCATAATATTTCTTTCAGTAATCTTTTTACCTAATTAAAATAACTTAAACTGAAAATCCAATGAAATGTATTAATTTAAAAAAATGAGTAATCATATACATAAATATAAGAGTAGCTAACTATGAGGAACGTAAAAAAATAATATTAAAAACGTGTAGATGACATGTTGAAATGTTTACATTATCCTGTATAGAGCTCTAGCGATGTAGCAGAATCCTGGAGCGGTTGTCAAGAGCAACCCCTTTTTTTTTATCCAGGACGGCGTTCATTTCCGGTGAAAAATGTGTTCCCTAAATGAGGCTTGTTACCGAGGAACATCCAGTACAATTCTAAAGGCCGGATTTCCTGGGAAAGCTTCTGCACATTATCTACCACAATTCGAAGAATAAAAAAAAGCAAAAAAAAACCTTCGATACTGTATGGATATTTTACATGCGCAACAAAAATATACATATTGTTGTATAATTTTACCAGGTAAATGAAAATAAACTGGAATACGTTGTGACAATGTTGTAAATTGGTTAAAAACCATATGCTGTATTTCAATTCGATGCACCTGCCTTGTCTATTATGATTTCAACGGTTAAGTTGTTATACTTGGCTAGATGTTTGCATAAGGTATATTACTCAACAACTAAATTAAAACAACTATTGGTCAATGTATTTTAAGCAAAAGTTAACAAATATTCGCGAATGTTTTTTGTAAAATAATGATTTCAATTCGACACAAGTGTTTGTAAAATTTAAAAAGTTTGTCGTTTATATACATTAAGTAGACTCGTCAGAATTTATTCCATCTCTATAACAATATCCATCTCTTAACAATATTTGTATTTTTTTTTCAATTTAACTGCAAATGTATTATATCTTATATATTCGCTAACATTGTCTCTTTATGGAAAAATATTAAGTAAACATAATACGTTTATCAAACAGTGTAAATTTTTAATAATTTATCTCCTTTCCACGTGAAATTGGCAAAAAAAAAATAAATTTTGCACGTGAATATAATATTAATCGTCAATTATGTTCCACATGTACATAAATACAATGGGCTATTGACCGTTGTCTCTCCGTCCTATTGAATACTTATTATATATAAAATAATAGAAAATATTTGCAAAATTACATTAAAGTGTTGTACTTTCCAAACATTATCATGTATCATGTTCTATGTAAGAAAAACATACAAGTAATATTGATTAATAACTTTCTTCGCAAGTAATTGTAATGTTATTTGGAAAGTATTACTTATTAAATGAAAAGACGCGTGAATGTATAGTTACAAAATTGGAAATAGTTCAAAGCGCATTTGCACCTTACTGTACTTGTTTTTTTCGCTGTGAATTTCATAATTAAGTTGAAAATTATTAGTTTATTCAATTGCTATTTTGTAGTAGGTTTCATGTTTACACAAAATAGTTGGTGCCTAAACGATATATGCTTTTTCGCACATTTTTCACAAGAAAGAGAATCAAGAGCGCCAAATTTGAAATACTCGATAAAAATCTTAAGACATTTCACCAAAAATGCTTGTTAATTATTCATAAATCTACATGATATACAATTAGTTTAATATATTGTCACCTTTTGGTGTAAGTCAAGTGTGAAGATTCATATAAATCCGTTTTCAAACTACATGAATGGAATACTGAAAAATAATTCATTCCTATTCAATTCTTATGAAAAGTATATATTCATGAAAGTATTATTTACAAATAATCTCTCATAATGATTATTTAAGCTTGTTTTTATTCTTTTCTTAAGTTGAAAAATCTTTGAAAACCTTTTGCAAGTTAATTACATTAAGTGCATACTCAAAGCGTTAGTCAGCTGTTGACTAAACGCTAGTTGCGAAATAACATTAATTGATACAAGCATAAGCTATGGGAAAGTACGCAGAAAATTGATAATTAACAAGTATGAAGTTCATTACCTGGCTAATGACGTCTCCATGGGCAGTACGGACTTGATACAAGTATCTGTACTTCTTCTGGCGCAGTTCGGCCCTGTCAATTCTTCCGCGACCGTTGGGTGGAGGTCTAGGCTTCTTTCTTCCCGCAGTAACTATACTCAGACAAGAAGAAGAAAAGAAGGTAAAATGAGATAAGACTGTGTAGAGTGAATCCATCTAGTACGTACCATCATCATGGTAAGTGCCTCTTCCTGTGAGCGCACACTGTATAATGAGTCCAGTCAATACCAAAGTGGGCCAAGCTCCCAGGACTATCCAGGAGTACCAGCATGGTGGAGGTACCGCGGGGCGAAGGGACACCCTCTCCCACACCCATGTGACCAGCGAGAACCTCTCGACAAAGTAGTCGATCGAGGCGGAAATGATGGCACCGCCGTATAAGCTCGTACCCAATATTGTGAGACCTGCGAAAAGGGATGTATATGCAAATCGTGTAAAAGCTAATTGCCAATCGCGTAACAAAATTACTATTATGGCTATGACTATGATTATTATTTACCCTTTCTGAAATAGAGGTTGAGGATGGCAAAGAGCAGAGCGCTGGCCAGGAGTACGCCGACACAAAGCCAGACCGAGCCTCTGGGTGATGTTTCCATAATGTGATCAGCGGCCAATAATCCGCCCAGGCTCAACAACAAACCTGTATGCAAACCCTCCATAAATAAACCTACGTATTGGACTAGCATCGTTATTAAACCGAACAGGATACCGGCGAATATCGCTACACCTGGAACATGGTTTCAATTCGACATGAGTGAGAATATGTACACTTCTCGTTTGGACATCACTCTTACCGGCGTTCCCGTATGGCGGCATCAGCACTCCCTGAAGACATATCAAGTAGACTATGCTGGACGCAAAAATGAAACCGGTGAGGAACATCACCGTCTTGAAGCAACGGTATCCTGAAAACAATACATCATTATTAGAAACAAAATGTATTTGTTGAATACGGAATGAATATTTTGCAAAAGGTCTATTTTCACTATTTATCTCACGTTGATTTTAATAATCAATGAAATTGAAAACTAGAAAGAACTAAAACTCTTATATTGATTCCAAGCTGAGAGTAAACACTTCTAAATAGTCGTAAAGTTCTCCGAATATAAAGCTATTAGGTTGAGCAATTGTAAATAAGTAAGTAATGCATTTTACATATTATTTATAAAGTAAAACTTTCATTTAAAAACATTGAATTATTTAGCAAACATTAAAAAAACATCATTATTATAACAAAAAAAAATACCATACAATTTTAAATATGAAATATTTAATAAAAAGTGCATATACATTTACTAAAATGTATGTTGTTACTATTACTATTTACTTCAACTTTAATAGAGATCATAAAATACAAACAGCATTGATAATAATTTGCTGTACATTAAATAACACCTAGTGAGCAATGCTAATTTCTGGTGTTTGCTATTTATCTTATAAATGAAGATGTTTAGAATTTATATTTTTATAGCAATTATGAAATAACCATGAATGAATTTTACATCTACTTTATTCCAACTGCTTTTTTTCGCTCACTACAAATGATATGATGCATTAGATCAGTTTTGTGTACATTAAATATATGTTAGAAAAACTAAAATTGTTGCATATACTTAAAACATGGAAATAATAAATCAATATTGATATCTATATAAAATAATTTAATTTTATGTTTTAAATATCAAATTTATAATAAATATAACATACAATTAAAATTATTTCCTTGCAAAAGGAAACAATAAAAGAACGAGCAATTTGCAATACCAATTTTCTTTTAATGAAGTTCAGTTTCGCCGAATGGTAACTTTGTTAAAGTAAATAGGGCGGAATTAATTTTCTTTGCAAACGGTGTTTGAATAAGTTGAAATTTGTACCTTGTTTTAGCTAATATTTAAATATGAAATTATATTTTTACCAAACATATGGAGCATATTATTTTCTTATGATTAAACAGTCTATGTTTGTTTTTGATATATTTATATGTGATCTAAAAACTGTTTCATAAGTTTGACAAAAAATATATTTGTACAGGTTTTTAACTGTTCTGTATATGTTGATGTAATTTATCTGTGGATATGTGAGAGGTCACAATGCATTTTTATTTGGGGGAGGTCTACTACGTTCGAACTGTTACGCCACTGCGCTGAATATGGTGGACAGCTGACTTCTGTGTTGAGAAAATCGAGAAGACTCGTTGTGTTTACTTGCAGGGGCGAATGAATGTCATTATAAAGTCGAATGTAATTTTCCAGCTGTAATTGATTCGAAATGAAGGTGCGAACACATCATTATTTTCTGTTTGAGGCCTACCTCAATCGAGACACGGGATTCGTTCGGGGTGTGGCCTTCAGCATCCCACGGACGCGATGCGGACGCCTGATCGATTACTTTCCACCCCCGCGTCAGAACAACCCCGCCATCACCCGCACCACCAACCCTCAAACTCTCCACGTTTAACCGACGTTCACCCCCTTCGACGAACCAACCAAACCCTCCACAACCCAACCTCACCCACACCCGCCGCCCTTCGACGCACGATTACCATATGGATCACAAAACATTTCAATTACATATGCGTTATTGCACATCGTGTGCCTCAAATTGCATCAAAAACTACATATCGACGCCGTCGCGACATCATCGAATCAACGCCAAAAACCCATCCGCCCGCCAATCACAGGCCGAATTTAACAATTTCACATCATATCCTACAAGACTTTTTGCTCCTTGTCAAAACCAATCTAATTACTTATCCCATCACCATCCATTGATTGCCATTTCGCGCTTCGGGCTTTTCTGATGACACGCCGATAGATATTCCATTTTGGAAATAGTCATACATAAGTTTTATTTAATAAACTAAAAAAAATACCACTTCTTTTTCATGTTTCGTTCAAAGAAGTAATTCCGTGCAACAAATCCTATTCGTTAATCGAGGTATCGCTGTACGCTAGATATACAATAAACTTCAATAAAATAAGTAAACTTCTATAATTAGGGGTATCTCTGGAATACCTCGATTCAGCGCATAAACTTCGCAATAAAAACCGTACCAATTTCAGTAACCTATCGCAATGTTCAGTTTTCCCGTAAATTCTGCGACAACCTCCAATAGAAAATCTTTCGCAATCTGCGTTTTTTCTCATAACAATGCAAATATTGCCTTCAAATAAAAAAAAAGTGTACATATTCTTTCTATTTTACGCAGTATCCACATTAAATTTGTTATCATAAATAACTATTTGAAATACCAACTACCATTATTTATAATGGTATCAAGTTCTGAATAGTTCAGATGCTGCACTACGAAAAGGTAAGAGAAACACATTGATTTGTAAGAAATTTGAACTAATATTATATATTATTAATAAAAATATTTGTTTAATTATATTTTTAACTTGACATTTTTTCAATAACTTAAGTTTAATCTAACAATCATGACAAATTATTCAATTACAATAGCATCGTTTCCTAATTAGATTTGAATAATTACAATAATGTATGTTTTTTTTTTCATAATGTAGAAAATCATAATAATCTTATATGTATTATTTATATAATTCATGTATTATACTTGATAATTCAAATCTTCTCTATGTAATAAGTTCTTTCCTTTTTTTGTACTTGTTGCTTGTGCACTTGCTCCCCTTGTTAGTAGTTTCATAAAGTATCCTACTCATCGTGTAATTAGATTTCCAAGCCATGAGTTTAATTCATTTATTTCTAAAATCGTTCCAATTTCATTGCAAAAAATTTAAAAAAAAACTAATATTCATTACTTTCATAGCTAAAACCAATTTCTAATTTTAACTGTATAGGAAACTGTAAATATATAGACTATAACATTTTATTTTGTTGAATATACAAATTCTATTTTTATATGCAAATTTTATATTACAGCTCTTATACACTCCAATGCAGAATACGCGTCTGAAGAACTTTGCGAGAAATTTCCTAAATAATTCGAATACCGCAACTGCGTTTGCTTATTTGATTAACATCATCGATAATGAACTACGTTGTATATAATATTATTGGTAAATATAAAGGTTGTTTATGCTTCGTACAGTTTACACAGTGCATTTTAATCCATCAGCAAATAATTAAGCATATTCCAAAGTTTAGTTCTTCGAAATCCTTCTGACCCAGATTCTCGACGCCCGTTTTTTCAACCGTGCCTCTTTCCCCAATAATCACCTTCCTGAAATAATACGCTAAATCCAGTTAAAATCAATAGAATTATGAGTATTTCCAAAGAACACATTTCCATTGAAATATTAAAAAAGAAAATATATAAAATTTTATTTTTCCAATACTTTTAAATTTTTTAATTCTGTCACGTTGCTGTAAAATTCGTCAACGTAAATTTCATAATATATTAAATTAATGATGACATTGGAATTCGATTTTATGGAGGATTAAGATTGAAAACGCGTGAATTAATTAATTTTAAGCTTATTAAAACAGGATTTACATTAAGTGTAAAATATTTATTGATTAATACAATCTCCTTAAGCAAATTATTATGTCTCGTCACCTCATTCATCAATAAATCTTAATTTAAAAAGAAACATTCGATTTTGAGTAATAGAATAAACAGTACCGTATTAAGGTTGTTTTAAGTCCTAAGAAAATGATGACGGGGATGTCGTCATCTTAGCAACCTAACAAAAAATATGTATTTTTGCTTTGTAATTCAAATGTTTTTCGTGAGCCCTATGCTTAATATATAATATTAAATAATACTATTAAATGTTTAAATCTATAATAATTAAAAATGAAAATTTTTCAATGATAAATGTTAATTAGAGATATGGAATTTCCAATTAATTTTAATCCGTAATTATATAGAAAGACTTATGAATTTTAATCTTCAGTTCTTAAGCTCGTGACCCAGTTTCATTAATCTTCAACTGATCTTCTTTCTTTCTTCTATGGTCATGCCCTACTCTCGCACTATCACCCTCCAGAAAAAAAGGTATCCCAGGATAAAAGGGAGGGAAAACAAGAGGCATTGTGAAAAAAAGGGAGAATCTCGCGAAGGCTGTGCGAAGCAGGAAAATAAAGAAAAAAGAAGCAGTCGTTCCACATACGGTGCAACAGTTTGCCTCTAGGGATTTTTATATCCCTTTCGTAAAAATTAATTTAACATGTTAATCCCTGAAGCAACAAACATCTCTATCTCTCTGCTCCTTTCACCATCCATCCTATTTTGTTTTTCGAGCTGCAATGCGCATTATGGAATAATTGATTCCAATTTATATTAGATTCGCACTGCGAGCAGAGATGGCCTATTTTATCCAGTCGACTAATTGCGTTGCCTAGTAGATGAATTGAATAACAAATGGACAAACAACGCGAGTTCCCGTTTAATTGGTACCGTGGACGTGTGATTTCATTACCGCAAAATGTGTAGAGTATTCCGAACACTATGTAGATGGAGCACACCGCTGCGGTTATGGCATCGTAATGGGTGTCCACGTGGCATTGCTCAACTTTCGGTCCATCTGGAGCCCTCAATCCTGGGATAACGCCGAACGTCGTGTTGCTCCTAGGTGGCACCAAGGAGCCAGGCTGCGCCCCACTCGCCATCTCGTTTCTGAAAAATAAAACAAACACAATTTGTCAAAACTAATTAAGTCATAAAACATAATAGACAACACGATACAATCCAAGTAATTATCAAACTTTGTTCACACTACTTGGAAAATATTTCATAATATGTAACTTGCCAAGTAATTTAATTTTCAGAATTATGCAGTCACCATAGCTGATTTCAAATGTACTCAAAAAAAATAGAGCCTAATACGTCAAGATTTATTACTTACGCAACTCGTCAATATTTAAATCCAAGTACTTGTAGAAGACAATTGTCATATATCGTTTAATACGTCAACACATATTGCGTAAGCAACTCGCCGAGTAAACGTTCATTAAGTATACAACTCACCATGTAATATATTAATTATCACCAATGTGAGTAGTCACCTTAGATTGTTTAAAAGTACTTGTATAGGTTACTTGTCAAATATCGCTGAATACGTCAACATTCATTACGTAAGTAACTCGCCAAGTAAGTTATTAATCAATTGATGAATATCTTATTAAATATTCTTTAGATCAGGGTTTCCCAAACTATTAACTATCCGTAAAAACTTGGAATGAGATAATTACTAAATAAAAAAGTTTTTCTCATTTTTTATTGATTACAAAATAAATGAATTGTTTCGTGAAAATTTCAGAATTTACGAATTGTTCCGTTGAAGGAAAAGTTAGGGAAACCATGCTTTTGATCGATGCAATAATTCACACAAAAAAAGTGCACAATTCAGCTACATATAAATCCAATACTCTTTTCACAGAATCCACTTTATGCGCTAAATTGAAATATGCAAAAGAGGGCTTACGTCATTTTTCTTTAATCTTTGCAACGATAAGCATAATTTGTAAAGTGTCAAACTAACCTGCAGCGCGGAAAAGTTATTACTGTAAATTCACGACAACCCGTTTAATTTGCGCGCACTTTTCCGAATACTCTCTTTTTGCGTGGACGTGATGCGATGCGATGCACACACACAGTTTACATTAAAATATACAAAATATTAATCATGCGACGCGTCAACCATACTAATTGGTTCCGTTGTTTTCACGCCATTACCGTTTGTATTTTGTTTCGTTTTCCTGCCGCTTGACCGTCCCACCTAATTGTCTTTCAACAGCTATTTCAGCGTACGAACTAAACTTTCTGTAGTGCAATGTGGGAATACACCTTAATAAGCTCTAATGACAATTACGCAAATTGGCACTTTCTGCTGGAGCCGACTTCAAACTTCGCTTCATTTTATTAACTGTTTTAACTAAAACTATATGGATGTAAATACTTTCGTTTAATTGCATAATTCAATTTATGCAAATCGTTTAGTCTTTATGTTATATTTATATTTATATGTATATCAATATTATATATGTATAGTAGATATTTACTTTAGTGATGATAAATAATTACATTCTTTGATAAAATCACTTTTATCACTTATTGTAATTAATTTAATAATTGATTATTTCAATGTCTATATTCTTGAATTTATATAACAAGTTTTATTTTAATTCGTAACAATATGAAATATTTCATTAATAAAAACAATAACTAGTTCAAAATGTAGTAAATAATGTAAATAAAAGTGTATACATTTCTTCCGCTATTCATCATCTATTTATATTTACAAATAACGTCAAACGAAACGAAATTGCAAATTGCCGTTTTGTGAGCCTCACGATGCAAACCCTGCAGGAATTGACAACCACCAGAACGATAGAATTGATCGCTCTCTCGAGACAACTACCAAATTCAAACAAGTATCAGCTACTTATCGCCTAACAAGAATCTGTCAGACTCCTCTTCGGAAGTCCATGTCAAGCGGAACGTTGTTCACGCCTCCATTAACAGTTCCAACTAAGATAAACCAAGAAATAAAAAAATATATAATTGTTGCACTAAAAATTATGCTCTTTTTTTAGATACATCGAAAAATTAACTAACGTTAATTCCATGCATCATATCTATTTGTAGACCATTAATTGGCCTTGCATAATTATTCTCCCAGAACGATGAGAATGCTGTTTAAATAATTCGTTCTTGGATCATCATCAAAATATAAGCCCCACATAACAACTTACAAATTCCATTGAATTGAAATGTTAAAATCAGAAGAATTAAGTGAATATTTACCCTTTTGATATCATTTGGTTGTTGTTTTATTTTTTTTTGTCTAACATTAAATTAAAATATACCATTTTTTTTTTCAGAGAATCAAATATTAATATGATTTATAACACCAAATAATCTACAGTTTTATAAGAAAAATGTATAATTAAAACATACATTTTTTTTAATTAAAAACATATATATACATCTACATTCAGAAGCAAGAAATATCTGTTTTTCTAAAGAAATATGCATTTTATCATTTCGTTATATGAAAGAATGTATCAACTACTGGCAAGAAATATGTGTTTTTACAGAAACGTGCACAGAAATAGATTGCGCTTCTTGAAAACGTATATTACCCCAAATATGAAAACGGAGCAATGCACTTGTAACTCAAATGCTAATTCCATCTCCGCTCGGCGCACATTTTTATTAAATTTATTTGCTTTTAACTGTATTTTTTTTATACGCCCGAGCACCTTTCACTTAGTTTATACCACCAAATCAATAGACTAACGGTTCCCAAAGTATCTATCCGAAAGTTTTTTTTTTATTTAAGGCATTATAATTATATTTTACGTCGTCTATTAAACCTACGCGCATCCTTCTCCTAACCTTTATAATTTATATAGAATTTCTCCGTAAAGAAATTAAATATAATATTAAGCAAATTTATTTGATAAATATTTAATTTTATAGTAATTCTATCTTACAAAATAATTAAATATGTTTGATCGAAAAACGTTTTATAAATAAGATCTGTAAAATAGCAGGAAAATTTTATTAATATTTAATACTGTAATAATTCTATAGACATTCTTTTTTTTAAGGTGGAAAGACTAGTTTCTAGTCTATAATGTGCCAATAAATATTTAAAAAAGCTTAAAATGGAAACAATAAAATAATCTACAACTGGAAAAAGCCAAATTAATGATATAAAACAACTGGTTTAAGAAGATCTATAGAGTTCGGGTCAAATTCATTATTGGAATATTGCAATAAAAAAAGCTTCAATTTTATGCAATTAATAAATGATTGTTTAAATGCTCACTTTTTATGTCTAAAAATCTAAGAATGTTTCGATCAGCGAACTGTTAAAACTAATGAACATTGAATGACTTAAAGTTTAATTTATGTTATGTTATAATTGATTCAGGTAATTCGAGTTAACTACTTATTCAATGAAAAGTTGTATGTAATATATAAATGCTTTAGCAAACATTATATCAAAGAAAATGTTACTATTGAAATATTTGTTTCTATTCTTGTGTGCTTTTATGGAGAAGTGTTCTACAATTTTCAACGATTAGTTCGAAGAGTAATTATGGTTAAACTAGAAACGTATACAATGTGGTCAGAATTACTACTTTAAGATGTTTTCTCACCGTGGTTTACTTTACAACTTCATGCAATACATCTTAATGTATTAATACTTAAAAACTACTTCGTTTTCAATGGAATTTAAGCACCTTTCTAAATATTTGGTTGTTTTCGCCAAAAACTTCTTCAATTTCAAAAGTTTTCTAAATCTTCCACTGCATTCAGTAAATTTCTAACTTCTTTACCGTCAAAACCTATTGATTGAGCCATTTGAATAACTTCATTCCTAATGTTATTTTCTTCTTTTAGTCCGACTTTACAACTCCAGTACAAGCATTTCTTAGTGAGTTGTTTCCAAGAACTATCAATGTTTTCAATTGAGTTTTTAATAGTATAGTTTTACCAATAATTTTTAACTGTTACTTTCTCTTTACCCTTCCATTAAATTGTTTAATGTTCGACGCAGATAATAGGTTTTAAATGATGCTATTACTCCTTGATCGAAGAGTTCAATGAGGGAAGTTGTATTTGCTGGTTTAAATTGCGGACTTTGTTATATCGAAACTTCATTCTCAGAAATAACGTAACCGTAAGCAGAGATTCTCAAACTTTTTGGTCTGCGGTCCCCATTTGGACGTAAAAAGTTTCTGTGACCCCCCGAAGAATGGGTATGTGTAGAAAAACAACCAGGCCAGATCTGTCATTAAAAAAAAATGTACGCGACACACACTTTAAGAATCACAGCTCGAAAGTGAATATTATTTTACCATCAAATTATTATTAAATTTGTATTGTAAATTGGAAATTTAATTAATTAGAATGTAAAGGTAAAAAAATATAAAGTGTGTTTATGAGTACAAAATTACTTAAATATCGTCAAAGTAAAAAAACAAATATGTGATTTCATACCTTAAATTAATTATATAAGTCTGTCAGATACAAATTACGATTTTGTGATCAAAGTAACAAAAATTGATTTTTTTTTTCATACAAATTCCGAGATTTATAAAGCTGTGAAAATTAAAATAATTACTTCTTAAAAGTAGATTCAAATAAAAGAAATACAACTTGATGTTAAATTGGATTGCAAGAATCGATATGGCTTGACAAATACATTCATATCAGAACGATTAAAACTCGCGTGAGTTCGCTACAAACAATTCCGAGATGATGTCATTTCCAGCAAAACTAAAATACATGCAGTTACATTGCACAATCACTATTTATTTCAAGTATATTATTGTATATCTATTATATTATTGTATATTATTATAGTATAAATTTTTAGAGACAAATCAAGTTTTTAAACAGACAAGTTTTGATACACGATTTTTTTCTACTTAAATGTTGTAAAGTTGTATTTTCATATGTAATATAATACTGATTCAATTTAGGAAATAAATAAGAGATTTATTATTTTATTTACAACTGCGATTCGAAGAGTTAAGCTTTATATGATATGCATGAACTTTCGAAAATTGTCTTTACACATGACATGAGCGAAAGAGGTCGACGATCTTCGAGCGACTTTGAGCTATATCTTAGAAGAATTCTAACATGAAAAAAACAAA